TTTTTTTTTTAAGAATAAAAGTGCACAATATCAGTTGTCCTGAATATTTTTTTTGTCGTAAAAAATACAGAAAAAACGTGACTGGTAAAATATTTTTGTAAAGTGTTAATTTTTGTTTTAAAAACGACATTTTTGTGTTTAATTGGTCCTCTGTAAATTATAAGACAGCTGTGCATTTTGTAATCCATAGACAAATTATTATTTCTCTATTTCATTCCATTATAATTAGACAAAAGCATGAATACGTGCAATCGTTAATTTTATAAACATGTTTCTCATCTTATTTAAGTTTAGTTAATTGTTATATTAATGAAAAGGAAATTCAATACTTTTGATAAGATAAATATTGCGGTTTATAGTTTTTTTTAGATAAAAATCTAAATGCTTTTCATGTACTTTTAGTTACAAACGTTTCGTAATTTGTATTGACGCGAAAGATAATGTATCATGTAAGTTTAAGATAAAAATATTCTACAATAAAATATAAATAGTGTTATTGTTTGCTGTTTTATTTTCTCTTTCTACTTATGATCATACATAGATAAAAATAATTAAAAAATTAACCATGTACTCCTAAAAAGATCTATGATTTGAAAGACACCTCACTCTTTAAAAACGCTATAATGAAATGGATGTAACAACTACGCATACTTCCACAATTTTAAAGCATGTAAAACACATTTCAACAGGAGTGAATTAATAGGAAAAAGGAAAATTAACTGTTGTGTCTTGCCTGTCGGTATTTATGACATGTCTTTGTTCGTACTTTACATACATCAGTCATCAACAAATTTTTGAATCAGTCCCAGTTTCTAAGCCAAGATATAGATAGATTTTCTAAATAGTAAACTAGATTTTTTTAATGCCAAACGATTGCTGTGCCGGACAGGTGGTAAGTGATCGGTGTGACTAATGAATCTGTCAAAATTAACACTAGCAAGGTCCCAAATTTATTTTTCACATTGGTATATTAAAAGATGCATACCGCCATCTATCAGACATATACAACAATAAAATATAAAGAAAAGCTACTGATAGATGGCGCTAGTAACATTTGCTTAAACTTTCATGGTATCTGTTTTTAATTATTGTTGATAGATGTCGCTTTTAAAATTAACGAACATTCAGGGATTTTGGTTGAGAACTTTTTCTTGTTAAAATATGATCTCTAAAATCACATAAGGTTTTTTAATATTTTTCAAAAAAATGACACTTTTTTGAACGGTGGATAATTTGATCCCTTAACTAGATAAGATATTGCCAATACGGATTGATCACAATATTCACGTATCACGTATAATTTGTTCCTGAGGATTGAACAATATTAAAATAGTTTATTGTTTTAATTATTTTTCTCGTTTGTTACAGTGAATCATCTCAGGAATGATTCAACCATGTGCTGTACAAAAGGATTTGATAAAATTGAGTCAGAGTTACAAACATTACGGTAATAATTAACAGACTAACCTAATAGAACTAAGAATTCTTAGAAAGAAGTAAGTCACAGTTTTCGTCCATCCCTTGGACAATACCAGAATAGTTGCCAGTATAAGACGCATGTCCCTTTTCTTTCTTATGAGTTAGAAAGGGATACTTAGACTTGCGATGAATCTAATTAGTCTTTAAATTAATACGTAGTGTCGTGTAAATGGAATAATTTATTGCACAATGCGCAGTTTGTTTTCTTCAAGCTGATTGTTGTTAGGTGCGTGCGTGCGGAGCGTTACAATTACGATTTGCTTCAAAACAAATGAAGAATTCTTATTGTACTCAAACATCCATTCTCACTTATTGATAAGTTTGCGCGCACTGATAGAGTTAAATAGGTTTTTTTTATATTGAAACTGTATTATAAAATGAATATGAATTAACTGTATTATAAAAATAGTGGCCATTTTTAAATGTCCTTCTCCTAGAAGCATAACCAATCTTACTTATACTAATATTATAAATGCGAAACATGTAGAGAATAGTCTGGAAGAATACATAGACTACTAACTTTTGTTTCTTTAAAATCCACCCGGACGGAGTCGCGGGCGAAAGCTAGTCTTATTAATAAATACAATGTCATTTGTAGGGCGAGTTCACTTTTATACAAATCATAATATTGGACGTGTTAAATATTCACGTGATTAAAACAAATGTACTTTAAATTTAATTTGTTCATGTCGAAATTAACATAAACATCTAAAGTAACAATATTATCTATGCAGTGTATTGACGCACGTTCACGTTACACCGACGAAAATGTACAACTGCAATAATTAAATATTCCATTTTAAGTGCACACAAAGGATATAAAGAGTTGCTTTGTTTGTTTAATGATATTTAACACTGGCAGCGTTGTTATTTTATTTTCCAACAGAAGTCCGTATTCAATTGTTTACGGATCTGAAGTTTCAAATAAAATTTTAACGTATAATTACATTGAAAATGATTACATGTGGATAATTTTGCCCAAAAAAATTGCAAAGAATAGTTAGTAACTAGTAAGTTTGCAATATGTTTTTTTATAAGAGAAGAGGGTAAACGAGCGGAGGGAACACAGAGATGGTCAACGACGCCCATGGACATTGGCAACACCAGAGGTATGTTACATATTGAGGTAAATGACTTGTGAGACTAGATCTGAAACAAAACTATCGCAAAACTGTTTAGTCTCGCGTTGATTCCTATGTGTTTAACTTGTTACCGACAGCGCGGCAGTCTTCTTCTTAAATATATGTGCTCCTAACGCCCAACTCCTATGGCGTTAGTTTTTGCACCTTGTGAACTTTTTGGCTGCCGGCTGCCGGCTCTCGGTTTAGTTGCTCTTGGTATTTCACTAATCCGGCTCGAAGGACCATGTTTAACTTGTTACCGACAGCGCGGCAGCCAAAAATACAAAACACCTATTATAAAACAAACATATCTTTATTAACTTATTTACACAAAAAAATATGCCAAAACTTAAAACTCTCTTGATTACATCTTGACTTCTTTTTTATATATATTTTTTACAAACGATTACTGCCTTGGTTGCCAGTATGCAACCTCTTTGGCTGTATACATACTGCTTGTCAGCCAAAGAGGTTGTATTTTGCACTCAACACTATGAGCATATATGGAGGTACGCACACTATTCGATTTTTAGTTGAATTGGCTGTGAAACAATCGACATTCGCACAACAGTTATGCGATGGTTTAGTCAAAGTACGCCCGGTCCATTTTATAAAACGATTGGTCTAGATTTGATTTAACTAACGTTTACCGGGTGTTTATGGTCACCTTTCGTCATGTCCATTTATTACTTTGAATTTGCGTCATTGTCTTCCCAATACACAATGAATAAGCATCTATTGTTTTATATGTTTATTTAATGTTTCATAATTAAACTAGTAATTCCAGTAGGAAGCAACATAATTTATTTTCTACCTAGCTATGTGTAATACACTTTCTAAATTAACATTCACATATATACCTTATTTAATTGAGATCCGTTTATCTGTTTTTTAGATACGTGAGACTTTATAACATTTAACTATACATGCATTTCGTATTTGTAAAATAGTCAGGAGAAAAGCTTACACATAAATAAAATGAAGTAAATAAAATAAAAAAAAATAACACACAGAAATACAAAAGTGGTTTCCCTTAACATCCATTTATACTTCTATGTCTATACTTATGTATATTATAATAAAGCGAAAAAACGCACTTCTTTGTTGCTTAAGGTGTCAGCAATTACAACATATTTTTGAATAATTCTATTTTTAATAAAAAGCCTTACACTTACGTCATGCTTTAGGCTATATTTTTTAACGCCATTGAACTTAGGAGGTAAAATTTGGATAAAAACCTTTACGTGGGAAAGAAACCATAAGTTGCCAACATCAAGGAAACAAGGTTGTCATCGTGTCATGTCATTTTGACATTTGTAATTTATAATTTGACAAATGTAAATAATAAAATAAAAATTTCATAATTTCATGCGGTTGAAATTGCAAGGGAACAGCTAGTAATCCATAATCTAGGATGATAACGTAAAACGAAACGTTAGATAATTTTAATTTTTAAACGTATTTCAACTCCATAAATAAATATATTTACAACATATTGAGTAAGCGAGATAATTATGAGTCATATTGTTTGTACAAAATGCGATAAACCATTCTGAAAGGTTACAAATTATCTTTTAAACTCATATTGTAGTTGTAATTAATCGAATATGATTCCTTAAAATGATGACTACAAAAGGTAACAGCTACTTTCACTAGGAACTATAAACACCTAGTTTAGAAAGTTTTCCATGGGCGTCACCAGCTAATCTAAGGGGTGAGGGGCTGGCTGATAAATCAGGGGAGTTAGTAGACAAAGTGTTTTTACTCTAAAAAAATGCTTGTCTAATTTATATTGAAAAACTGACGAGACAGTTTTGAATAATCTAATCCACAAAGTATTGTGTCTCTAACAATATTTCTTGTGTAATTTTCGACTCTCCGGGGGGGGTGGGTGTGTGGCATCTGCTTCCTGCTAATCCCTGGTGACGACCATGCTTTACATTACCTATTATCTCGTCATCATTCTTCATCTCGTCATATTTTCCTGTAATTTATTGGTTAAATAAGCTCTATCCAATTGTGATCTATATTTAAAACGGGTCAGTGTAAATATCCAGGTATAGTAACCACTCGTCCGCCCCAGAGCACAGGATAAAGTCTCCAATCAAACAATTGAAACTGATCGTTTGGCTGGACGTTAGTCCAAGTAGTCAGTGCGTATGCACTGAGCTTGCACCGGAAGATGTTAACAAGGTAATTTATTTAGCTCAACGAATTTATTTATTGTGAGGAGACATAAGCGTGGGTATCTACTGCTGATAATCCGAACAAAAATACAATAGTTATAACAAAGAATAAGCGTAATTTCAAAATGCAATGACGGGACAAGAGTGAACTGCAGTAAAACCTGGTGCATATTTTACGTGTGTGGGATAAGGACAGATAGATTATGATGATGAGATGGAGTATGTTTTGTACATGTTTCCGCAATGTAAACACAATTAGGACGATCAAGGTGAAAGGTCGATAGTGCTTGAAGTTTATAAAGAAGTACTCATCAACTGGTGTTCTATGATTTTACACGTATTAGTTTATAAACATAGTAACAACAAGCTCTCGCTACTTCGCTTATTTTAATACATACAAATATACAAATCTTTCCTCTTTATAATTTTAGTATAACATTTTAGTTACATTTAGAAGGTACCCACGTCACAATTGGACGGAAATACTAACGCCGATAACTTGTTCTAATCCTGGTTTTGATTCGTAATAACAATGATTCATCACTAATAATGTAACATTATTTGCATTAGATCTTAAATACGATTAAGATATGTGTCCCTGTAAACGTCAAAATTCCAAAACTTGAACTTTGTTTTTTATTATCTGTAGCTCTTAAAAAGACAACAAACAGTTCGTTTTTACTACTTAAATTCTACGGAAACGTTCCCCTCGAAATCTTTGAAAAAAGCACCAGTATTGGCTGGCACCTCAATTTCGACAACGTGTCGCTTGTTGCTGTGAAATTTGCTTGCTTGTATAAAAGAGCATTATCAAAATTATTTATACCAGTCGTCAATCAATCTGATCCAGTTCCGTCACATTGGTAGCTCGGTAATAGAGTGTTCGCGTATTATTTGGCACAGAGACAT